AAAAGCTGATAGAGGCTAGTTTGAATTTTATTTTTCCTAATGGACTAACATTGCAAACGTTTTCAGTGTTTCTGGCTTTTCCAACGTATAGGGAAACTGATAGATTGCACGAGAACACGTTTACGGTCTGCAACTTGCACATGCGCACATGGGAAGAAAGGGAAAGCGACGCAATTCTACGTTAGCCATGTTAGGTCTCATTAGAGCGCGGAAAAACCTTTTTCGTCACAATATTAATGTTTGTTTATCTGTATCGTCTTCCTTCTTCATATCCTTCTAATAAAGTTCAATTGATCTTTCAGCCTTCCCAAAAAGGGGGTGTGGTCAGGGGATAAGGGACCATGAGCGATACTGTCAACCCCTTTCCCTATTTTTGGACACACAAAGAAAGGGAAACACTTACCCTGTATAGGACCACACCTCCAGTTTTGGGACATGTTGAGCAGAAGGGAAGAGAAAAGGGAATCACTATGTTATTTTGGGTAAAAAGAATAAGAAAAATGGTAAATTTTGAGCTAGAACATGTATTAAAGGACTGTGTCATTCGTTTTGTCAAGACCCAGGAATCGAAACCCGTATTTAGCGCTCTGATGCTCGAACACTGAGCTACTCTTGATGATAAACAGGATCATTATTACCTCACACGTGATCATAGTCAAGTCCTACCTCACAGTAGAGTTGTCTGTAGCTGGGTGGTAAAGCATCAGAGGTTTCCTGTAGAAGGGTCAACTGATACAGCAGTACTAAAGATGAACTTTGGCACCTAATTATCAAATGCTACCACAAGAGCAATCACCAATAAGGTCCAAATAGCACGCTAATACTTAAGAATAAAGAGACGAGAATTACTCTGGGACGACAAAGTCCCATGGAACTCTTTATCCAGATTTACGTGGCACCTCATGCAAGACTGACTCATCATTCCTCCCTCCTCTATGCGCAAGCCCAGCCAAATGAGAGGGAATCATTTAAGTCTTCTTCGTTAAAATGAAACATTGGAATTTAGGAAATCACAAAGTGCCGCAAAGGTGCCCTTAAATAGTCGGTAACGTAGCTTAAAACAAATGAGGAGTAGGCTTCCAAGCCCAAACATCAGAGCAACTGAAAGCTATCGTAACCTATGCTTGGCACGCCCAGCACCAGCTAAGATCAAGAGATCTTTGGAGCTGGTGTCTGCCTTAGATAAAGTGTCAATGACAACTGCAAATTAATGTAGTATTTTCTAAAGTGGTCTAACAATGAAAGAGATGATGGAAGGAACTGAGATATCCTTAAACAGAGTACCAGACGTACATCGAATGCCCGTATCTTAAAAGGCACGCTACCTGGTATCATATAGTCGGAGGAGGATATAAGAGATCTGCGATATTGTGTATCAAGCAACTACGTTTTATGGAAATTCTCGTTGCTGCAATGTTACCTAAGGCGTTTTAATAGCAGCACTACCATTTCACAGTTAGCTCAAGACATGTGCTATCAGAAGGGCAAAGACATGGGCACTGCTGTAGCATCGTCTAGCAAAGACAAAAGGGACTTGCATTGCTGCATTATTGACTGATAGTGCAATGCGGCGTGCATGTTGCTGCAATGTCACCCATTAATATAAATCTACAACCGTTCTATCACAAATGGTACGTCCTGATTGGCTATGCTTCCCCGCTGTTTGTTCTGTGATAGGTAGTGAGTACCGTGAGTAGCCGAACGCAGTGTGGTTGTAAAGTATTAGCCATAATTTAATGTTAAATATTGCTACTTGGCCATGCCCAGTGATGCCACATCATTTAAATATGAAACGAAACATACACTGTTATATTTTACGTACTATAGCAGCGTAACAAAAAGCTGCCCACCGCTGCACCATCACTTTACAGTGTAATAAATACCCGAGTGGCTGCAATATCACCTTGGGCCAGCTGACTACTGAAACTACACGGCTATAATACCACTTGAAAGCGTGTACATTGATGCAATCGCATATCGAGGTAACAAAGCCATGAACACTGAATATACTTTGATAATTGGCCAACGACATGCGCACCGCTGCAATGTCATTTAAAAGTTCAGCATGGAGATTCATACCGCTGCAATATTCCTTAACATTCATCGCTGCAAAATGGAATATGTGACATGACACAGTTATTGATTCGATATTATCCATGGGAAAACTACGAAAATGCGCCTAACAATACCACCAGCACAATGCAAAATAAGCATTACCCCACTATCGTCGGGTTGAATTGCCATTTGCATACAATGTGCATTGCTTTTAAAACTGTGATTCCAGTATGGGAATTCTGATGAATCATTTTTCTACTAAAAAAAAGTTTGAAATATTTGGCCAAACATGCAGCCATGTCACATATCATAAAGAGGTAGACAACACAAGAGTAAATTACTTACAAAATCGTGATTGCATTGATATACCCTCAAAAAAACACGTCGCATTCCTTTTGGTTTAGTAGCATAAGCTTCACTGAATGAGTTTGAGTTGATAATTCTTCATAGTTAAAGCAAGAAACAAACAAAAAAAAATCAGAAAAACAGGAAAATTATTTTAAAGGGAGGTGAATTTGTTTATCCTCCTAACTTTTAAGATGGGCAAGGTTCGAGAATAATTTCTAAACAAATGCAAAAGTGCATGCGAATTGCTGGTATCAAGACGAGTCCAGCCTCTCCCCTTCTTTTATTATCGTCTACCAAAAATTTGTTAAGTAAAACGTTTTTCTTTTTCCAAGATGCTAAAAATTTCCTAGGCAGCAGAACCACCGAAAGGAGACTGAGAGAACAACAAGTGACATCTCAAGAAAGTACCTTTGGTGGTATCTGGAATAAAAGAGATATGGGTTCATTTTCCCACAATGTTCAATGACTTAACTATGAATACTGTACTAATACAATATGACATGCTGCACCCAAAAACCAAAAAATTAAAGAACAGTGGTTTATTAAAACGATGGAGTACTGTATCAAACGGTACTTCTGATCACTCATAGCACATTTTACAAGGCCTCCAATGAGGTGTTAAAATAAAGTCACACGGCAGAATAAAAGGCTGGTAAATTTTAGAAGATATTTCTTAGATGGATTAGTGTTTCTGTTAATCAATAAGACCTAAAATTGGAAAGGTCTCTTTCCTGTTGCAAATAAGACAGATAAATAAACCAACAAAATGAGCCAATAGTATATAGTTATTTAGGATATAAAAGTATTTTCTATTGAAAATGGGACACTCCGAGGTCTGTGAGGAATTTTTCAGACATGAGGAACTATCAGATATGTCAAAATTATCTTTCATGTATGAATGTTATTTCACCATGGAAACCTTAAAGCTCTTACACTTCTCGTACTAAGTTTGCATTCCCAAAATGTGTTATTTTAACAACTATCGATTTTCCTTTCGCACCAAAACAACTAAACTATAAGTAGTAGGTTTCCATATTATAAGCACCAAAAGTTCTACCTCTGTTACAGCATCACCCATCCATTTGTACATCGCACTACGAACCGGCGCTCGGTAAAAAATATTTCGAAAAAGGCCACATATCAACAAAAACTTAATACTAATTTCGTCCAATCGAACATTTGTGTCATTGACGCTTTTCGCTCTTTCTCTGGAACTGAGATCCAGGAGAAGAGGAAAAAAATTGTTGATTTTAAGCGTTAGGTACATCTTAATGTTTAATGAAACCGTAAACAGAGAGGCTCTATTTCGGGCCATTAGCCATTAGTAGTGTGAGTGGAAAAATGACCATAATCTGCGAACGCTATGCGCATGGGGTTAAGGAAAGTGGAAAAAGCGTCGAAAAAATCATTGCCACAGTCCTAGAAGGAAAAAAGAGAGATGCACACAATATTGAATTTAAAGGCATTTTTTTATGAATGGGCAAGATTTGATTTTAGAGTATAAATGAGTAACAATAAAATCATAAGGTCTCAAAAAAGTCTAAAGCTTCCGAAAATTTCAATTTAAAAAATGTGTTATTTCATGGGAAATGTTTTAAAAAAAATGGAGTTGGTATTGCCATTTTGTATTACTGTCTGCGGAATTATGTTTTAATAGCTTTAACCAAGAAGAGGCCTATGTTTCTTTCCAGACATTCCGTGGCATTTTTAAGGCTCATCTAGCACAAATATTCCAAAACTGTAATTCAAAGTTTGCTTTAAAGCTATACAATGATGGAGTCTCTCAGTCAGAAGCATCCATTTCATTCAGAAATAATATCTTGTCCAGTATAAACAGGTAAATAAACTTGATACGACTTATTTTGAAGCAAAGGAAAGTACACGATAAAGGGCATTTTTACTGAGGTGTCGATTTTAAAGGGAGGCTTAAATCATCTGACGCAGCGATGGACGATTGCTTGGACTTAACATGAAACTAAAATACAAAAACAAAAACAAAAGAAAGGAAATAAGCTCTTCTGATCGTATCTGATAAAGTCGTCAACAGCCACTAATACAGCAACTTTCTCTTTTCACTATCTCATAAAACTTTCTCTAAACGATCATGTTATCAAGCCATCTTTGATAGTTCTAGAACATAGATTAATAATCTTTCCTCGTTTCACAGTCAGTCCCGCTGTATAGTTATTCGTTCCTTCATCAAACCCATAGTTGGAAATAAATCAGGCATTGCATCGATAGGAAAGAAAAGATACTGCACATGAACTTCTCTGTCAAAGGTATTTTTAGGTGAACTCATGCCTGGCAAGGTAGAAAGAAAATATTGACGGCTTTTCCATAAGAATTCGTCTCGTCCCATAAAAAACTTGTTCGTATGCCAGTTTTGGAAAAACTTTTAGGGAAAACTAGACTGACATTTGTCAGGGAAATTTTAAAGCTTCTCCTAAAAAACTTTTGCCAACAAGTTTTCTTTGCTAATATATTCAGAGAACAGTTTCGATGCCGGGCGAAAGAAACCTGCAACTAGTGACCTCTGAACACTCACTGTGTAACGTGAACATGGGGGTCAGAATAATAACGAGAATGATAACTCATGATAAATGCTACACTTTTTAATTTTCTCTGTGTCAGTTCAACAAACCCTCTTCACTGATTCATCCTCTGGTTTATATGCTAAACAAACTGTGAAACTAGTCACAACCCAACGCATTTTTTATGCGTTATTTTATAATCTAGCATACCCGCAGGAAACTATATGGACTGCGAGATGAATCTGCCAAACAGTTTTAGTTTCACCAGAAAGTACGTTTCTGGAAAATGTTATCACTTAGAAAAACCAAATACGTCGTACACGTTTTACCAACAATCAAAAGATAATGAACATTTAAGATAAGATCCGAAATAAAACAATTTTATTCAGAATGGATGAAAGAAAGCGACATACATGCAAATAATATTCCACCATATCAGCGAGTTCGTAATTACGAGCTCTTTAGCTTTGAATTACAAGTAATGAGTTACATTCAGTCAAGATCGCTTTTTATGGAGCTACGAGCTAGTTGTTTGCCATAGAGACAACTATGCATAAGACTATGTTACCTAGGAGTTAGGCTGTGAAAATCGGTGTTTGGGGTTAAAAACGCTCAACAACAAAGCTATATCAGATTAATATACCCTCAGGGTTTTAGCTTTCTCGAAGAAAGGTGCATATACAACACAAACGAGCTCTTCAAATTGTAGTAACCAATATTTCTAGACCTTTAAGCAGTATTTTGGGACGTTTCAAAAACTAGGAAACGTGATGTAAAGCCCAAATGACAGCAAAATGAGTGTATTCTGTCGATATGCAAAACTAAGCAAGGAAAGAGTACCTTGGAGTTAATTCTATCGGTCCAGAAGGTTCTTCGGGACAGGTGAGGTGCAAGGATGTGGTTTTAGACAGCAATTACTCTCCGATTTTCGAGTAAGAGAATAACCTCATTTAAAGAGTTTGGAGAATGAATTCCACATAACACAACCATCGACTTATAGACTAGACACGTTGTGACCAGCTCGTTTCTTTTTTTTGAATAAAAAGAGACAAGTTCTTGTTAAAAACACAGTGGGCAATGAAGGGATTAAGACAACAGGATGGGTTTGTCTAAACTGCCAAGCTTAAACCCGCACTAGCTTTATTTTTTTGTTTCTTTAAATCTCTCACAAACAGAAATCCTTCCAAGTGAAACGCACGCACCGAGAGCTTCGTTAGGATGGTGGTGCTTCGATTGTCTTCGCTATTACCAAAACAGCGTGACCGCGAGGCTGAGTGGTACGGGTAGCGCCAATTAATCTGGGTGGGGTGATGAAAAACAGCGGCGGGAAACGTGTTTATTATTTCCTTCACGCTGTTGGCAAAATGAAGGAAGATGCTGTCAGCAGGATATCGTTACAGATTGAACGAACCAAAACAAGAATTTTCTTAATTTTCTACTAATGGCAAGAGGGAGGAGCTACTAAACGGACCCCTCAGAGCTTTGTAATGACTCTTCATTGCAAGTTTTAGTTTACAGTACAAAAAATGCTTTTCTGATCTTGTGATAATGAAAAATCTGACACAAATACATTACAAGGAAAACGCTAGATATTAAAAAAAAAAACATAACAACGACGCTATGGAAAGCCTTGGTGGAACAATCTGATTTTTCTTCAAGCCTTGATTTCTATCAAAAGAAGAAAATAAACAAAATCCTGTATTAATTATAGTTCATTTCACAGATTCTCGGATTAAAGAGTAACAAGTTATGGTAACGCTAGAAAAAGCTTCAAATGACAAACAATAATGAACAATGAATGGACATCACAGTGAACATGTACCTGCTTCAGTTTCATTATTTCAACACACGCGATCTGTTATTTTTTCTTTCTTTTTTTTTTTTTTTCACGCAATGCTCGATGCACAAACCACATTTAGTTATAAAAATTAAAATTGCCCTATCAGTAGTTTGAAAGAAAAGGAAGTGTGTTACTGAGGTTTAAATTAACTAAAAAAGCGATCGTCTAGTTGGTTTCCTGTCCAATATTTCGCAGCCACTTTTATTGCGGGAATCAAGTCGAGTTTTTTCTATTACTTCATTCTGCGTCTACCTTTAAGGCAGATAATAAAAGAAAGCCTCTCTTGGATCACCTGGAGTGCCATGCAATAAAAAAGTTAGGCTTTCTGTTGATGTGGATCAATTTCACCGCCGAGCACCTGCTAGAATCATATCTTACCCTAAATTAAATACACGTGAACAAAAGCCACGAGAATAAAGCTCTAAAGAACACTTTACCAACATTCGTATAGTTATTGAAAATACCGTTGGGTAGCGTTGCATACATTGCCGTATTTTTAACCTTCTTTATTATCATCGTACGATAATAGATATTGTTTTCTTTAAGATGTAGGTATTACTTGAATTAAACAAATTTCGTTCTTAACCGAGCACCTGCTCGTGAGGTTGACATGAGATTCATCGACTACCGGTGCGTTCAGCAAAACCGATTTTCTCTCTAAGATATTCTCAAGGAAACAAGCAATAAATGAAAATATGAGTAAATCTAAACATCAAAATACGAAGTAAGACGTTTAAAGATGTCTACTTGTTTGTTAAACACCATATTAAAACCTTAAAATGCGTCTTTAAGGATAATATCTTGTCATGTTTACATTATATTAAAGTTTACCTTTGGCTCTAAGGGTTTAAATTGAGATGAAAAAAAAAACTATCCTCTGAGTCTATAGAATCAAGTAGTTCGGAAAAAAATACTTTTATACGTAAGGATGGAAAAACTGGCAGATCTCATTGAGAAAAAAGAAGACAACGAGGAAGTAGATGCAAGTATTACATAGAAACCAAAGTCGGTTAAGAAGACATCTATTCAAGATAACAAAGAATCAAAATAATGTTCTAAAAGCCGTAGGTGTTTAAGTGAAAGTGATAGGCGGAATATTGACGGAATTCATATTTTTCTATCATTCGGGCTTTACATCACTTTTCCTAGTTTGGTAACATCCCAAAATACTGCTAAAAGGTCTAGTGATAACGCTTAATAATATTTTGAAGACCGAGGCGGTTTTTCGCGCTTTTAATAAGCTTTTCAATTTTCCCAGTTTGTTTTACAAAGAATCGTTGAAAAAATCCGGAGCGGCATACCGCAAATTTGTTTAAGATGAAAACTCATTAAGAACGTACATGCCCTTAAAGCCTATTCTCGTTTATTTTAGAGAACGAAGGAGCTAAATGATTACCTTGGGGGTAAGGTGATGGTACCAAAATATTAAGTGAAATTTTTACCGTCCCCTTCAATACATCACACTATTTCGCAGTTAGCGTGTCTGTTTGACAAAATATTGCACGTTAGTGGTTTTCCAAGCGTTTGCATTGCATCAAGATCGCCATGAATATAACTTTTCGAGAGAGAAATAGCTTTCAAATTGTATGAATAAAATTTCAACGCAAGAAGAATATCAATCTAATTTTGAGTAAACAAGTCCACTGCTGCAATCAAGATGCAACCTAATAGTGCGGTGTTATCTCCTCTAAAATCTGATTTTTCACAAGTTACTACCGAGCTTTCTTATGAATTCCCGCCCTTTCCAAAGCATTACACTGTTAAGACACTTGCAACACGGTGACTTTAGACCATTGCAAAGTTCAAGTGAGAGTAATCTCAGTTTAATTTATATAACACCAATGTAGCGTATTAAATCAAAATTACTAAAGGCGAAGGAAAATCCTAATCGGTGTAGTCCCTTGATGAATGAAATTTAACGAAATTTCACCTATAAGTGATGTTGCTGGGAGAATTTAGCTGCAATTAGGACTGTTTTCCGAGAATCCTGTAGTATTTATTACATCGAATTATTTCAGAATCAGAAAAAAATTTAACACCAGAGCTTTCGCGCAGTAAAAAAACTGAAAATGAAAAAAAGAAAGTGGAGGGCTCAAAACGAAATATAACACAACGAAAGGAAAGAAAAAATATCGCCAACACCTTCCACAGGTGATTTCACCATCGATCTTCACCTTTCAGTTTAACGCTTCAAGTGAGAAAGGGAAGTATTTTCGTGAACTCAATGAACTTGTTGTCATCGACCACGGTTGTTAAATACAGCAAGGAACTGTAAGAAATGGAAAAAAATATATTGAAAATCCAATTTTGCGGTCTCTTTTAGTAAAGGTCGATTAGAAAGTTATATAATTTTTTTGTCAAAGTGAAGTGGAAATCAAACGCAGTTTGTTATTGTCTTTGTTATCGGCGAAAAGTTAGGACAAATTCACTTACACTGGCCCAATATCCAAGATTGCCCTTCCTCTTTTAATAAAAGTCGACTCAAAGGTAATATAAATTCTTTGTCAGCGCGACGTGGATATTAAAACGTACTCTGTCAACGTATAGATCAGTTTAAAGGTATGGACAAATTCACTTACATTGGCCCAAAATTGCCTTTCAACTCTCTCTCTCTCTCTCTCTCTTTCTCTTACGAACATTGCTGTCAGCACAACATAAAATGACCACAGAGCTTCCTTCAGCTTCTCGTTCGTACGAGTTTATAAAGGCGTAGGTTGAGAATATACTGCAGGCACAGCAGGAGTGCTTGATAGGAGCGTTTTCACCATAGCAGACAAGTGGCGCTTCTATTCTCCACAAACAAAAAGAAACACCAAACTTCTCTCAGATCCTGACGGTAATAAACTTTACGGAATAAACAAAATGAAATAATTTTTGAGCATACAAAAAGGAAAAGTTTTCCGACGCGCTGTTTATAATAGGAAGGAGTTTTAGTTGAACAAAGCTGATCAAGAGATCATATCCGCCGAAGCTGCGAAGGTCTTCAAGAGAAGATTCAATTTTGATTTTTGTTTTTACTTTCCATGTCATTCATCCTTTTTCATCACATAAACTCGAATCCCTCGAAGAAAATAGTTATTGAAAATGAGAGACGAAAATGTTGAGCCTCGCTGTGTGAGTTAAAGATATTCTTATCGAAACACCGCACGGCGATAGACGAGCTGTCTATGCCACCTGCTGGCGAACCCGAAAAGAGAAGCGTAAAAACCAACATTTCCAAGACAAAACCACACTATTGAGTCTAACAGTTTACGAAGAAAACAGAAATGTCACATTAAAACCGAGTGTTGTTCGTTCATGAGCCGAAATTCAAGTCAAGCCGCGTTGGGATTAACCCGCGCGGAAAGTATGGCCAAGAGAACGTTTCCGGCATGCGACTGTATTGGTTTTGAAAAGAGACGGAAAATCATTCTTACAAAGGATTTAACGTGGAAATGAATTCCGATTTTCCGAGAAGCTAAGTATGTGTGCGTTTTCATAATGCTTTGAGTATGCACTGGAAAACGTTAAAACAGAACCTGTCGGCTAGTTTTACTAATATGGACTTAACAATTCGAAAAAGGAAAGTTTCATGTAGATGTTTTCTAACAAATTTTTCGAAGTAGGCTACATACAGGTGAAACATGATACAGAGATCCCAAAGAGAGTGTGTCTCTTACACCACCCCCCTACACAAGCCATGAAACTATCTTGTTTGCGATGGAAACTAATCCACCCTATTTTTCAAGTACTTAGTTTGCCAAACTTTCCACTGAACTAAAACTTGGAAGTTGTGTCGTTTACTTGTTTAAGGCAAATGTCATAGTCGCAATTTCGTGGAAATCTTATTCTTGATCACTTTCCGGTAACTTTAGTTTCCCTCTATTGAGGGTTTTATGTATCATACTCACTAACTGATTTCTTCAGATTCGCTTTCTCTTTAATAGATATGATAAATAAAAGATTGTTTGATAATTTCTTAGAATTCAACGTCTCCTTTTTGTTGTTACTTTCAGATGCTGATTGAAGCGCAGCAGACAGCTAACGTTTTGCAAACGATTCCATACGGCAGAACAACGTCTTTTGTTCAAGAGCAAAATCAGCGTAGTTTCATCATGAAGAACAAGTAAACCCTCACCACAGTACACCATATTAATTAACGAAATACACAGTAGAACTGAACGTCATACCGTCACATTTTAGTGCTATCAGACTGAAAGCTAGGGGTCCAGTCATAGCTGAAGATCTCTGTTGCATGCTACGTGTCCAGCAGGAACTATCATGAAAAAAAATATTGAGATATTCGTCACCTACGAGCAGCGATAGAAGTAGTGTTAGCTTTAAAAGAGAGACAGAAGCACAACAAACAGCCTTTTTGATAACAATATGGATAATTCTCACCCCTTACAGACAAAATTGTCTTCTAAAAGATTGAAAGAAAATTGCAAACTCACGGAAAGATTATAACAATTTTGATACCGTCTATGTAAAATATAACGAGGAATTGGTAGAGGAGTTAATAACATTCCCTCTATTTGGAACGTAATAAATAGTTCTTGATCACAACTCAAGCCTGTCTCAGGTCCTTTTCGTAGATAATATTTCATAATTACTTTTAATATCTTCGCTTCCTTTGCATGCAACAATTGACACACAGAGCGATCAATTGAGGCAGCAAGGAAGTGGTTTGCATCGATATCAAGCTTTATGAGGAACAGGCAGTGAGACATTTGCTCGGTTTTCAGATAACTCAGGTTAAATTAACATGTTTCGCATCATCTACTTGATTAATTAACATAAAGAACAACTGCTTAACATTTGTCCACGGTGAATTTCAAGATACACTTCTAGCAGCACACTGACCTTACTAACTAGGTCTAAGGGAGTTGTACCGTTGTACCGTCTTCTTTATCTGTAAACGTACCTCGGTGATTCTGATGAAATAAATATCTGGAGTAAATTCAAAATTACCGTTTCACCCTCACGAGCAACAGTTGTCCACCATTGCTTAGGAGCTAACTTTGTGATAAAGACTTCAGCCCTTAGGGCGAGTGACAAATTTAAGCGGGCATTCGTTGTTGACTTTTTGGGCACAACGTTAGCTAAAATGTCCATCTAGAATGAAGTTGATTTTCAATCCATCTCCTCTATAATATCTGTGTCAGCATATGTTTTTCTTTTAAAATAACAGTACCAGCGCCTTTCAGTTTGTCACTGCAGACAAAAGTTGCTGAACTGTTGCGGTGGCCGCGCTAACAAAGGCTATCAAACCGCAAGAGAAGGCTAAATGCTTGTTTATTGTCTAGAAGTGTAAACGTCAAAAGACAAGAACAATTACAAGAAAACTTTTATCATCCATTTATTTCAAATATAAAGGTTTAGCATAGGACGGTTTTTTAAGAGGGTGGTCTAAAAGACGTTAATCATTTGAGAAGTCCACAAGGTGTTTGATTCACATGTCGAGTAAGAAAGAAAGAAAAGTTGAAGTTTCTTAATTTACTTTGAAAGAACTGCCCTGCGTTGTACTCTGTCTTCTTACGGTAAACAATACTCCACAATGAAATAAAATATTACTCTTGGGTATTTGACATGCACTTTAAGATAAAGTTTTTAACACACGACGGTATCGTTAACCTATAAATAAGATAAGCAAACCACTCCATTTTGCTCAAAATGATTGCGAAAAATATTCTTGGACCTCAGCTACACCCAGGATGAAGTTATTCACTGACTGAAGAGGCTTGCTATATCTCCATATAGAGTTTGTGTCGCTTGGTCTTCATTAATAAATTTACATCAATTTTTTTTTTTGTGAAGCCTTCAAAAGCAGACAATGGGAAAAAGTCTTCAAATGGAATAATTCTGCTTTCTAGTTTCATTGAAAAAGATGAGCAGCTCTCGTTTAATAAACTTTCATCTATCAAAGGGGGTAATGAATACGCAAAGTGTTCATAATAATTGTTTTTGCTGTAAATTTGCTCCAGCATCGATGAAGAATTATTTGTGCTCGATGACAATTACGTCTGTTTTTTGTCTATAAACTCAAATTTGCGTCAGTTTTAGTTGCTATTAAACTATTCTTAAACGCGATTGTGGCTTGGCAATCAGCCGGTTTCTTGAAAAATGTGCTCTGTATAGAACCTTAATTACTTAGTGCAGTGTTAAGAAAGTCTTTGTAGATGCAAAATTGGACTGAAAGTTTCCTATTTGACAGCCAATAGCTTGCACTTGTTAAGAAGTAGCCTCTGGGCAAATGAACTGTTCAGTGAGTATGACAGATAGAGCGGCGCCTGGCCATTTGAAGCACAGGTGCCTCTGAGTCGCCACAAAGGAACAACTCATGCAAAACGTTCAAACTACGAGCCAATTTGTCAATTCGTTGTATCCAAATTATCTCCGACTCTATTTTTAACTTTCATTAATGGCATCATCACACAATGCTTCGACGTAAACAAGATAGAGGCAAAAGGAAATTTTCGGAAGTAATTTATTACCAGTTTCCGGTGGTTTCATGAAAATTCTAGCTTGTGGCAGCTTGCGGCTGAGCTATCATTTCTTAATCATTTTACGTTTCCTGCGATCTACTCTTCACATGATAAACAAAACCCGCTTCCATGCGCTTTTCCGAGGCTTCCCGAAATGGGAATTTTCTCTGAAAGCCAAAAAGTTAATTATACTAGGATGAAAGAAGGTTGGCGTACCAATTATTTTGTTTTGAACACAATAAAAGCGGCATTCTATCCCGTAACCATAACAAGTTAAAAAAAAAATGAACACACTTGTAAAAATCTTAAGTCTTGTTGAGAGTCCATGAGAGGAATTTGGTAATAATGCTACTGAAATTTCCTGGATTTCGATGTTAAGTTTAATTCTAAACATTCTTTCAGCAGCTAAAACCTTGCTAAGAATTCACTCATCTGCCCTAGAAAACTGATCTCCAAGAAACTCCAGCAGCGAAAAATATCAAAAACAGGATTTCTGACATATTTATCATAAAATCTTTAAAACCCAATGTACAACGAGGTTTGCATAGCTGGTGGAAAAATTTATCGATCTTCTAAAATTTCGTCAGCCGTGCTTCGAATATCACTCCATGTGAGTTATATTGTAAATAAACCAAGGTAGCAAAGATTGAATCACAACTATAAAGACACAATTATTCTTATAGAACACGGGACCTCGACTTGATCTTTGCATGAGGCCACAGTTGTCCACAGTTGGACAAAGACGTTGACAAAGGGAATCCGTTACAACATGTCGCGTGCCCCACAAATATGCTTGTTAAAAAGAGGCTTAACAGGCAAAATCTTCCCTTCCTAGTCGACCGCAAAGTTACTAAGGCAGCTTGAATGCACAGTGGAGGCGACTCGTAACGACGTAGAAAAACGACAAAAAGGAGACAAAGTTAATTTTAAGCTTAGTTTAAACGAAAAATCTGGCATTATATTTCAAAGTGGGAGCCATTTTAGCACAATCTCAGCACGCCTATGTTCAGTGAGGTTTTATTTATTTTCAAAACGATTCAGAAACAGTTGATTAAAAAATATGATAAATCTTTTAAATCTTAAGCTAGCAAGGGTGTTTCTACGGTGTAAAACCTGCCGTTATGATGCAATTCCTCGAAACAAATACAGCCTAAATACCTAAATCGTATATAAAGGGTAAACTACCGGAATATAGTTTACTAGTCTTACAAGAATCGCTCGTAAAGCTTTAAGAGATTTCTTTCAAAAGGAAAGTAAATGTATGTAATAATTTTGCAATAGTGAATCAATATTAACTCGTGACATTTCTCTTATAACAGTGTAAAACAGAGCTTTCACAGGTATTCGTTCAATTCCTTTCACAAACTAAACTACAATTTCTTGTTTCATGAGTTCAAATGTAAATTTTTAACAATGCACTTCATCGTACAATAAAAGTTAATTCACAAAGGTGTGAATAAAAAGAGAGAGCCCTTTGTTTCCTTTCGTGGGAATTCCCAAAACTACAATTAAACAGCAAAATATTTGTCATATCTAGAATAAGGAGCATGACACAAATCGGAATACATTTCGACGATTTTTTACATTTTCTGATAACACTCAACAGGGAAGGTAGTATGAAAAACAGAGAAAAGCCTATGTTTGTCTTAATCTCATTTCAGGGAATGATTTTGACGGTCAAAGAAAATTAAATATGGAAGACAAAGTGATTTCACAAGAACTTTTTATAATTGCTATGTTGGGCCGATTTCTCCAAGGGCGACGTTTGGTAATAAGGTTTTTTAGCTGTAGGCGAGTACTTATATGCAAATATATCGAAATAAGGCGCTCTAGATGGTGTAAATAAGCTCAACGTTTAAGGGCAGCTTTCTCAAAAGATTGAAAAAAGACATTAAAATGTCTATGGCGTTATACGGATGTCATGATCTCAGCGTAAATAAAACGTAGTTCATGGCTGTCTTCTTTATATTTCCTTTCGTCCTTACATTTTACCTTGCTTAAGGAATATTCAAGTGAAGAATTGTTGTGGTTAATTTTGAGCATTTTCTCTTCTCCCTAGATCACCATGCTCCCGTTTTTAATTTCTTGATTCATGGTGTGTATGGTGTGATTAAAACAAACTCCACCACGGTGCAGTTTATTAAAAAAGAATTTTAACTTCTGAAGCGCCGGACGATCAGACCGGATACATAGGAAATATGAATATAAAAATAAATTACAAGTTAAAAATTCAACCGATAGCTCCGGCTTCCTTGAAGTTAATTTCAGTCAGAGACGGTGGCACTCAGACTTTTTCCCCGCAAACGTCACGACACTTTCGAAGTCGCTGGACCAATCGAATTTTCGAGGCAAGGAGCACAATAATCGGTTTGATTTATTTCATGAAGGTTAGGTAAAATAATTGGGACAGCTGAGTGATATTGGAGATGTAAACACAAGCAGGTGGATACATCCGTTTACCTGAGAAATAAACTGGATGTAAAACATGCAAAAGATATTAACTGCCTCTATTCAAAAAAGGAAAACCTAAATAGGCCGCAATTCTCAAGAATATCAGCCAGGAGATAACTAATCTAATAAAACCGGACTTGCGATGAGGGAAATATTTCACACGAATATACGACCGAGCAGCCGTGTTGTTCTTTTACTCAATATGATTGATATCACCACAGTTAATGATTGAGGGGGGAATGAAATATCTTTTGATGGAGCAAGGTTACCGGTTTGAAGTTTGTTTACTAAGAAAATGACCTGGTATATTACAACATCACATTATGTCGCAGAAAAATAGCCTCGAGGATTAAAGCTGTCCCTATTTATTTTTATTTTTTTTTGTTCAAAACCAATTTCTTTTATGCGGCAGCAGAGCTCAAAAATATATTACATTTCTCATAATGGAACTTTTTGGACCAATTCTGACTGTGGTGCATACTTATTGACTCAGCTCCTGTCAAATTTTAAATTGCCACTTAAAATTCAATAAGGCGCAGTAATAATTACCTCCTTCATGGCGGGGAATAGGAGAAATTGTCTTTTTTTCGTTTAAAACTAATCTGCAGCTTGGCTTCGTTCGCTGCTATACTTGAAAACCGCGGAAATTAGTCAGACAGTGAGAGTGAATACATTCAATTAATGAAGCCACGAAAGGGGTGCGCCCCGCGCGGTGAACCTATTTATACAAACTATTTCATGTCCTTCATGAGTTCTATAAACACTGATGCTTCACCACGGTTCAAACTGGAAAAAACAATGGCTTACCGTGCATGAATTATGCTTAGCAGTAGTAGTCACTTTAGTACGGCCCTTAATTAAACTCATCTAAATGAAATTCAAGTTTTCACCCTTTTTTGAGCCTAAGCCCTGTTTAATAGTGGACGATCGGTAGCACTTAACATGTCTATTGACGCATTATTCTCAGAAATAAGTCCTTAAAGATAACATCTGACATT